TTTTTCCCCCACTGTATATATATATATATATATATATATATATATTTGTAATGTAATTTTAGGGGGGAAAAAGTTTGATCTAATTATAAATGGTAAAATTACTATTCCATAAACAAGTTGTACATATACAATATTACACATATTTATATTCAAAATATTAGAAAATGTTATGAAATACTACTTGGACACTTTCTAGAGCATGAATTAATATTCAAAATTTATGGTAAATAGGTTTATCATTAACTATTAACCAACATTTAGTCCTAAACTAGCTACTAACTAGAGAGAAAGCTTAATCCCAGTTTACCCAAGTTTTTGTTTTATTTTATAAATGCTGTCTATTTAATTGGATGCTTGCTTATTGTATTTTGCTAAAAATGGTTGCAGAAATTGCAGGCTTCATATCAAATTAATAAAGATTTAAAAATAAAATATTTAGCTTGAATTTCTGAGGCTGATGATCAACATTTTACTGACCATTTAAAAAATGCATTTATTAATGCTTCAAGCACTACAGTATTTAATACCATCTTCATGGAAAGCTCTGCATGTGTGTTTGTGCTCATTTAAAACAACTTTAAATTTAAGTGACGTGGCTTACCTGTGGTCCCAGTAGGCTTGTTTAAAGCTGTCATAATCTGGGATGTCAAAGTCATCAGCCTCCCAGGTGCACTGATCATACGGCAAATCTCTCCACTTAATCAGGTAGTGTACATCTCCATCCTTATCAAAACTTAAATTTACACAACACGGTCTTAAAGCAGACCTAATAAGTTGCAAATTGGTCTTCCAGCTGTTCCTTATATGTACATTTAACTTTTCTGGCCTCTTATTGCTACCTGTCCCAACTTTTTTGGAATGTGTAGCTCTCATGAAATCCAAAATGAGCCAATATTTGGCATGACATTTCAAAATGTCTCACTTTCAACATTTGATATGTTATCTATATTCTATTGTGAATAAAATATAAGTTTATGAGATTTGTAAATTATTCCATTCCTTTTTTACTCACAATTTGTACAGTGTCCCAACTTTTTTGGAATTGGGTTTGTAATTATATCATAATTTTCTGCATGAAAAGTATGTTGTCTGAAGTATCGCATTAGCATTAGTAACTGTGGTCCACCATACCTGTGGTTGAGGAGCCGGTGAATGATCATCCACTCCGGCTTGATGCCGTAACGGTAGAATCGTTCCTCCATGGCTGCATACTGAGGGTCTTTGCTCCTCCTCTTCTCACTGTTAAGTTCCTCTTCCCCAGAGCCATAGTCGTATGGTGGTGGTTCGTCCATGTCGTTCTTCCGCTGGTAGTTACGGTACATTACTGAGTGATATAGCTCCAACTGCATCAAGGGAAAAAAACAGAGATCAGAGATAAAGGAGCATGCATGATTTAATGATTTAATGAAGCTGGCTCTGTGTAGGTAATGTGGGAATCCCACCTGTAGTTCGCTGACCCAGGAGCAGTGCCAGTAGGACAGCCCAGCCCATTTCACAAACAGCTGCCTCTCTGGACGACCCTTCAGGGGCATTTTGGCCAAACCATCCACCTTCTCTCCATCTCGCCCAAAGGGAACCTCAGGTGGTAGAGGAGGATCGCTCCACGCCCAGTGCAGAATCTTCTGGACTTTGCCTTTTAGCGGTGGACACTAGAGAAAATATGGATGCACAACGTTCAAAAAAATACATGGCTTTATTGGGCTTTAATAGTTTGATTTCAGCCAGGTTTAAAATGTCATGAAAATGCTTTTTCATAAAACTGCATTAAATTGATCTAAATTCATCAAAGAAAATTCCTATTCATCAAAGAATCTGAATTTCAAGTTTTCCTTTCTCTTTGGAGTGTTACAAGCTGATTGTGACACATACCAGCTTCATCACTGTGTCTGTCACGGGACTCTGTTCACCTTCCGGGCTCTGTTGTTACATTTATTTTGAAAGATGAAGCTCGCGATTATGGTAAGGGGCGTTACATTTCTGACGAGTGCTTGCGGTGTTCGGCCAATCACAATGCAATGGGTCAGCTGGCCAATCAGAGCAGACTGCGCTTGTTGGAAGGAGGGACTTAGTAGAAAACTAAGCGTTTGAGAGAGGCCGGGCATAGAGGACCTACAATAATGTACAGTATTTGAAAAATAATGTGTTTTTTGAAAATTAAAGCATGTCAACATATTCTGTTACACCAAATACACAAAATAATGATCTTTAAAAAAGCATCATATGACCCCTTTAAGCAGCATAACTGTTTTCAACTTTGATAATTATAAGAAATGTTTCTTGAGCACCAAATCAGCATCAAATGATTTCTGAAGGATCATGTGACGCTGAAGACTAGAGCTGTTGAATGTTCAGCTTTGCCATCAATGGAATAAATTACATTTTAAAATATGTTAAAATAGAACTTTTAAATTCTAATAATATTTCACAATATAACTGTACTTTTGGTTAAATAATAGAGCCTTAATGAGCATTAAAATGTCTTTTACAAGTTTTGTATTATTTTCAGCTATTTTAAAAACTCTTCAGAATGATTTTAACTGAACCGACCCATGCAGACGTTTCTCACCATGCATCGTGGACAGAGCCATTCTCCATTGGGAATTTCAGGAAGTGGTGGGTTGAGACAGTGGATGTGGTAGGAGGAAGGGCAGGTGTCACAGCACAGCAGCTCTCCTCCGTCCTTACACACTCTGCAGAACTCCATGTGGTCATCTTCCTCCTCACCAGCAACCTCGTCTTCCTCCTCCTCATCATCTTTGGCCTCCCACTGAATGCCTTCTTTTTCCTGAGAGATGAGGCAGTGAACTGTCAGTCTGAATAGCACAGGTTCTATGGTCTTGAATATACTAGAATGTATTTTTTTGCAAGTATATGCTTGTGGTGAAGCAAGGAGGGATTTCCTCACGCAGTGGGGGCAGCTCCATTTGCCCTCAGGGGCTTTCTCCAGTTCTGGATCCAGACACACCAGGTGATATGCTCTGGGACAGGTGTCACATAGAATGATCTCTCCTCCCTGCTGACAAACCTCACAGTAATCTTGATGGTCTGTCTCGTAGCCGTCTCCATCCTCTCCTACATTGACAATAGAGTTTAAAGAGAAACCTAAACGGTTTACTGAACAGAAGTACTGTGCAATTTTAATACAAAACTTCACAATTTTAACAACAATATTTCAATACATCAGTAATTGATACAATCAGTAAAGTAATTTTATTTAGCAAGGACACATTAAATTGATTCTGTTATTTTGAACTTTCTATTCATCAAAGAATCCTTGAAAGAATGTACCATGGTTGACACAAAAATATTAAGCAGCACAGCTGTTTTCAACTGTGATAGCTAATCAGCATATTAGAATGATTTCTGAAGGATCATGTGACACTGAAGACTGTAGTAATGGCTATAATAATATATAATAAAAATATTAATAGAAACTATAATAGTTCAATACTAAAATAACTGTTGTGAAGGGTAGTGCAATAATATAATAATAATAATAGTAGTAAATTTACTTTTTCTTTTTTTTCGTCCTTGGCGGGCTGACTTCTTTTTGGGTGCCACTGAAGTGTCTGAGCGTACAGAGGCACTGTGAATGCTGATGTCATCAAAGTCTGAAAAGTCATCCAGGAAATCCTCCTCGCTCTGAGTAATAAGACAGTTTATGCAAAAGGCACAATAAGTCTTTATCAAAAATGAAAACGTCATAACTTGGAAAACAACTTCAATAATAACCCAATAAAACTGGGTGGAACAAGAACAATGGGGAAGTATATCTATACAAATGATCCATGAATTGTTCTGGGAAGTGGAAAAGCAAAAAAATTATTCGATTCTCTCTCAATTGAAAAGCTATGGGGCATCTTTCCATGTGATACACATTAAGCCCTAGAAAGATTTCAGTGAAAGCATGTTCTCACCGAAGAGCCTTTTTTCCTTTTTCCACCCTGGCCTGCTTTCGATTTGGACTTCTTCTGTTTCCCTTTCTTTTTTGTTTCTTTCACTGGCTTACTTTTTTTTTTAGCACCAGGCCCTGCAATGCAGTCCAGATGAGATAAACAAAACAGAAATGCTTTTTGTGAGATCTGAGAACAATACTCCTTTCTTCAGACATACATAAAACACATTCTACGTTTGCAAACCTGTATTTTGTAAAGAAGCTAAACTTACATATGCCCACTTAAAGCTAAAGTATAAAATATTTTGATGTTAAAATATTTCCTATAATATGAAATTGCACACTTGCAAGTTTGAAAGTTACACTAAAAGCATTTGTGAGAGTGAAAAACCAAACACATTTGAATAAAGAACTGCCAGCAGCCAATTATTAATCATGTTACATGCAGTATGTAAACAATGTAAAAACCTACACTAACTGATTTGGTAATCAAATCCTAGATATAAACCCCTTTATAAGATCAACAAAAAGAACATTGTGTTACCCTTTCCCTCTTTGGTTTTGGCTTTTTTGATTGGGCCAGATGGTGAGATCTGTTGGATACTTCTAATACAGATGGGCGGAGCCACATTGACAGTTTCCACAGCAGCAGCTACAGCAGCCGCTACAGCAGTTGCAGAGGTGCCTTTGAAAGGATTGTTTGCACTGAACTCTCTCCACTTTGCTCCAAGCACCGTCATCATTTTTGACATGGGGATCTTGGGGTTCTTCTTGGCAATGAGAGGTCTAACCACAGAAAAAAGAGATTTGTGACCAATTTTAAAGCAATAAGCTACGAGAGGCCATGCATTGTGGTGATTTTACCTCAAGTACTGAATGTTCTCAGGCACTATGAATCAGAAATCGGAAGTATATACTAAAAGAGTCTCTATCACATCAAATATTACACTGGTTACAGTAGACATGCATGGTGTGGGTCTGACAGTACATCTTGTTTCAATGCCTGTTATTAGAAAACCTGTCATCATAATGTCATTAATTCATACAGGCATTAGCATTTGCCAGAAGGAATGTTTTAAAATAGAACAAGACATCTTGACAGCAGGGCAATAGAATGTCCATGCAGAAGAAAAACTGAAATCCTACCTAAGAAACTGGCTGAAGGCTTTGTAGTTGGTTATGGTTTTATAGTCGTCCTCTGAGAAGACATACTGCACATCTTCAAGACCCCACTCTTGCATCAGCTGACTGGATGACTTTGGCTCCTGGTGTCACATGAGAAATTGTTATTAATTTATTCTCTTGGCTAATAGAGCATAATAGAACTTTTCTAAGTGAGAACCTTTAAGTTTCCATCATCGTCATCATCATCATCATCCTCATCATCATCTTTCTTTCGCTGTTTTGTTTTCCTCTCCTTCTTCTCTTTGGGCTTTTTCTTTTTCTTCTTCAGGGAGCTGAAGGTGCTGCTCTCACTTCCTGACCTGTGACCATGATCCTCTCTGTCTGACATGTCATCTAGCCCACTAGGAAGCCCCTGTGAGCACAGGCAGAGACATTATAGGAAAAGAAGATGGAGCACTCATGTAAAAATTAATGGGAGAATTGTAACGCTCAATATGGTGGCTGTAGGAATGAAAGAGCAGCCTTTCAGTAAAGAGCTAAACTCCTTTTTGGTGGAATCTGAACATACACATTAGATGGCCCTAACTGAAAATTACCTTTCAGTTTTTTGCAAGATTTTAGCATGAAGCATAATTTATGGTACCATTAATGTCAGATTTTATTGCTGATTTTATGTTATTTAAACTTGATCGTACAAACAAATTTCCAAATTCATAGTAGCAAGTGTGTATTTATTTCCTTAATGGTAACCGAAATGGCTCGGGTTACTCAACGTAACCTTGGTTCCCTGAAAGGAGGGAACTAGACATTGCGTAATCGCTAGGGAAAATCCCTTTCTCCAAACTTTCCTAAAGCCTCAACGTATCACACTATTGCATTGCAATAGCCAATGGCGTTCGAGCGCTGCTACTACAGATAGGAAAATGGTATTACAGAAGCATCCTAACTTAAAAAAAAAATAAATACTAAAAACTCTTTAACCCCACGGAGTCCTAAGTTCAACCTTTTGGAATCCAACACTAAAAACACATTACATTCGCCCTTTTAATGAATGGCATTACATATATTAATTATATAAGCCAAAGAGAAGTGACATTTGATGGTGGAGAGACTTTTGGATGATGTGTTGTGCTCTGATGATAAAATACTTGTAAATAATTACAGACTCCCACTACACATGATTTTTCAGGTAGTTGTGCCAAGATGTGCCTCACAGGACCACAGTGCTACATATAGACATACATATAAGCCTATAAATAAAGAAATATATACATATAGGATATATACAGTATATAGTCAACCAATTGCGACTAATGTTACAGAGACCAATGCACCATCATGGAGCATTATTACCAGTCATTCTGCAAGTTAAAAGTATGCAGTTGTTTCTCCATTTTGGTTTTATGTTTACCTCAGCAGATGGTTGCGCATGGTTGGTTGTTTGGTAACAGGCCTGACAGTTGAATATCGAACTCGATGGAGCAGTTTAAGATTTCTTAAACTAAGCATAAGATAAAATTGTGTAAGATAAGAATCCTAAATCAAGTTAAGATTTGCTTATGCAATACAAATTTGTGAAAAATCCATAATTAAATTATCATATCTTAAGACCTAAGATAGGAAGTTGATCTAATATACCCCCCTGTACTGTAAAATAAAAAAGATTATTTAAATACTATGATTACTGTTATATTTAACACCAACAATAATAATAATATGATGTAATTAATACTATACTCATTTCCCCATTCATAAAAAAACAGCCTGGAAGTGTTACCTAGATGGTCACCAAGTGAACTGACTTGTCCTAAAGAGACTTTTGTGCTGACCTGTCAAAAATAGTGCACAATTTCAGTTTTTAGAAGGAAAAGCAAATATAACTCTACTTGTAGGAGGCATGAAACGGAGTTCCTTCTAATTGGGTAAGACCTCCCATCCACAGAATTTAAATAAAAACAGGCTTTTACTATGGCCTAACTATTGATTGATGTAAAATCAACTCCACATTTTCAATAAAGGAAAAACCAGATCATTATGACACTATTATTAGTAACATCTGGAAGCAGGGAAACCAATCAAAATGATCATACTGCTAGGGAACAAACATATTTCAGTGGATGAATTACACTGTCTCTGTGTGTGTGTGTGTGTGTGTGTGTGTGTGTATGATTGGAGAAAGCCTTTTGCTGTGTTGCAGCTGTGCACTGGCTGGCAGACGTCTCTCCGGCGCAGGGTAGGCCAGCACTGCCGCAGAGTGAACAAGCTCCTCCGGCAGCAGTTCTGAGTTGCCATGGAAACCAAACTGTGCAGTGTTGGAGGTGGGGGGTGTAGGGGGAGCTCTCTCTACTGCAGCAACCAATGGAACAGCGCCATCCAATCAGATGCGTTTGCATAACGAGCTTGTTATGGAGAGTCCCCATGGTTGCAGTGCCTGTGTTCTAGGGCCCGTCTAGACAAATCTCAATCATGTACATGGGGGAGGGAGAAAGTGAGAGAGTAAGGAGAGGGAGTGAAAAAGGAGGGGTGCTCATGCAAGACGCAATGAGTAGAACCACTAAAGAGCTTCACAGCTGGTGCTAAAAGGTCTCCCAAAATCCAAACCACAATTTTCTGACAATGAACCTCAAAAGGAAAAAATATCCGATGTAAATAATGTGTGGTTTTCAGGCTGACACATCCTCCAGTTCATCCCTATAGAAAATGCAGTAATTAGGGAGAGTTTGGCTAAAAATGCAGTCATAAATTTTGTCATCATTTACTTACCTTCGTGTTGTTACAAACCTGTTTGAGTTTCTTCTGTGGAACACAAAATATAAGTTTTAGGAAGATTATCATTTCCATGCATAAGATATCATTGGTTCTTTTGTCTTGTGACCATTCACAATACATTTTAATGTTAAATCTAATTGGATGCAAATTAGTTTTGTGACCTACCGTGGATTATTACAATTTCAGGCTTTTCCACACACATAGTTATTGTATTGCTTTACAAGTTGGAAATTGCAAATGAGTTAAATGAACAAAATACAACTTCTTTATTAATTAATCTTATTTTCTAGTACAAATATCTAAACATACATAAAACAATAACTATTTTCTGAAGTAATATCACATTATACATTATGTTTTCAGAGAAAATATCTTGAATTAAGCTTATTTTCCGCTTGCCATTTTTTGGTAACACTTTACAATAAGGTCCCATTAGTTAATGTTAGTGAATGCATTAACTAACAATCTGCAATGCATTTGTAATTTATAAATGGTTTAGAAGTATTTTTTATTGTTAATTAATGTTAACTAAAGTTAACTAACATTACTTATTTTAATATGTTACCTTTTTTCTTCTTTAAACATAAAACTAACCAAATTTATTTAGGTTTATGCTTTTGCTATAAATGTTTTAATATCTTCTGACTGACATTTCAATATTTTGTCAAGAAAACAACACAATATTAATACTAACATTTTACAAAATTGCAAGACTTTTTATTTTGCAGTGCTTGTTACATTTATGCTACTTTTTGTAGCCCAAGTAACTATTCACTTTTTTAGAATGTATGGAGAAAAAAGCAGCGTGAAGTCTCTGCCGCAGAAGAAAGCCAGTCATTCGAGTTTGGAACCACATGAGAGTAATAAAATTATGAAAGAATCTGCATTTTTGGGTGAACTATGCCTTTAAATGCTGCATTTTCTGTGGGAAAGAACTGCAAAACAGTGTCAGGCATCTTTAGGATCTTTTTTCCCCAAAACATCCTCAACATCTTCAACACACCAGACCAGAAAAAAAACGCTCATCTGTACTACTGAAATGTCACTTATCATTGTTTACATCTGACAAAGCACCAATTCTCACTCTCCCGTTACAATCTCTAGACTCTCCACAGTCTATCAGGCTCCGGCACAGGTGGCCGGCTTTGGCGAGCTAAGCTGTTAGACTTACGGACAGCAGAAGGGCAGGCGGCGGTTTTGACCCGCATTGATTTGAGCCCGTGTCTGACACAGCACTGCAGGGAGAGCATGACTGACACCAAGCAGGGCTCTTAGCTGCTGAGGGGAGACCTCTCTGCCCTCTCCACGGCACATTTACCACCGCTGAGAAGGAGGGAGGGTTGAGAGAAAGACTGAATCTGTGCAAGGAGGCAGATAAAGTGAGAGTGGGCTAGGGAGGAGAAAGAGTGGAATCCCTCTCATTATCTCAATGGCAAATACAGTCAGCTGGGGGGACTGTGATCGACTGACCTGTCAAATGTTTTATCTCTCGCCAAGGCACAGCTGACTGGAAAAAGGCTGATCGCTAAAAATACGACAAAATACCCCTAGGTCAGGCAAGTTGTTTCATACTGATCATTCAACTCATAGGAGCAGCATTTATGCCACGGCCTTGCAGACAAAAGCACACCTGGCCTTTTTTTATGTTTTTTTATGAGTACTGTGATGTAAAGTAGGCTGAAGTCAGATCAGGGCGCTATTTGTTATGTGGATGGTCTAATGTCAGCCTAACTTTTCTGGGAGGGAGCCCTGAAAATATTTTTAATAGGACAGTGGAACACAAAAGAAGATATATTTAAAAAACACATTTAAAAGTGAGGTTTTTTTATCCACACAATTAAAATCAATGGTGTTCTGTGTTATTTGGACCCCACTGATTTTCATTGTCTGGACAGTTATCAAAACATCTTCCTTTACATTCCACAGACAAAAGTCAGTCTTATGTGTTTGAAACAACATAAGAGTGAGTAGCGATGACATAATTTTCATTTTTGCATGAACTATCCCTTTTAGTGTGTGTTAAATTGGAACTGTTTCAATTTTTCCCCGTTCATAAAAAAAATAAAAACAAAAACAAAAAACATTGGAAGTTTCAGTAATGATAAGTTGAGCAAACAAGTAGTATCTGACTGAACTTTAGAACATACTGAACTATTTGAACTTGACCTGCCCAGGTTTTCACATCAGAAATCTGGTGACACATTTACAGTAAATGATCACGACGCTGATAAAATAAAACAAAGATTCTAAAACTGCTAGAAATGCACATTTAACCTAACAAATCTATGCCACATGAAAATAACTTACATTCTGATGATGTGATGACGACATCCATTTCATCCACGCTTCAATCAATTAGATAGCAATTAAAAGGCTCCTTACCTCCTTCTTCTTCTTTTTCTTAACTTTGGGTTCCTTTCCTTCCATTATCTTGCTGGGTTTCTTCTTTTTATGTTGTTTAACCGAATCATCCTCAGAGAAGAACCTCTCTAAGGGTGTCAGGGGAACACTCCTCCTACGTTCACCTTCCTCATCCTCATCTGAGAAATAACACAAGAGGTTCACACTTATGGGATTCATGCATACACTGCACCACCTCCAACTATCTATCTACAGTTAGGTCCATATATATTTGGACACTGACACAATTTTCATTATTTCAGCTCTGTATGCCACCAGAATAGAATTAAAATGAAACAATCAAGATGAAATTGTAGGGCAGACTTTAAAGGGATAGTTCACCCAAAAATGAAAATTATGTCATTAATTACCCGCCCTCATGTCGTTCTAAACCCGTAAGACCTCCGTTCATCTTTGAAACACAAATTAAGATATTTTTGATGAGTTCTGAGAGCTCTCTGTCCCTCCCATAGACAGCAATGTAATTAACACGATCAACGTCCAGAAATGTAGCAAGGAGATCGGTAAAATAATCCATGTGACATCAGGGGTTCAACCGTGGCTGCGCCACGCAGATATGTTGTTTTCATAAATTAACATAGAAAACGTATTTGCGTGGCGCAGTTGACACAGAACAGCATACGCTGTTTGCATTCAGTGGATACTCTATAAAATGGCGCCAGGGTGACGCGGAGGAGACGAATTGTTGAATAAAGTTATTTTTGTTTTCTTTGCGTACAAAAACAATTCTCATAGCTTCGTATAATTACGGTTGAACCCCTGATGTCACATGGATTATTTTACCGATCTTCTTGCTACGTTTCTGGGCGTTGATCGTGTTAATTACATTGCTGACTAAATGCATCAATAATATCTTAATTTGTGTTCCGAAGATGAACGGAGGTCTTACGGGTTTGGAACAACATGAGGGTGAGTAATTAATGATAGAATTTTCATATTTGGGTGAACTATCCCTTTAAGCTTTAATGTAAGGGGTTGAACAAATATAACATAAAATGCTTAGGAATTACAACCATTTTTATACACAGTCCCTCCATTTTCAGGGGCTCAAATGTAATTGGACAAATAAATATAATCATAAATATATTTTGTTGAGAATCCTTTGCAGGCAATGACTGTCTTAAGTCTAGAACTCATGGACATCACCCAAGACTGGGTTTCCTCCTTTGTGATGCTTTGCCAGGCCTTTACTGCAGCTGACTTCAGTTGTTGTTTGTTTGTGGGTATTTCTGCCTTTAGTTTTGTCTTCAGCAAGTGAAATGCATGCTCAATCGGGTTGAAATCGGGAGATTGACTTGGCCATTGCAGAATATTCAATTTTTTACAATCAAAAACTCCTGGATTGCTTTTGCAGTAAATTTTAGGTCATTTTCACTTGTACTATAAAAGTGCCGTCCAAACAACTTTGCTGCATTTGACTGAATCTGAGCAGAGAGTAAATCCATATACACTTCAGAATTCATCCAGCTGCTTCGGTCTTCTGTCACGTCATCAATAACACCAGTAACCCAGTGCCACTGGAAGCCATGCATGCTCATGCCATCACACTGCTCCACCATGTTTCACAGATGATGTTGTATGCTTTGGATCATGAGCTGTTCCAAACCTTCATACTTTTTTCTTCCCATCATTCTGGTACAGGTTGATCTTGATTTCAGCTGTCCAAGGAATGCTTTTCCAGAAGTGGTCTGGCTTTTTTTAGATGTTTTTTTTTGGCAAAGTCTAATAATCTGGCCTTGTTTGCACCTTGTAGTGAACCCTCTGTATTTGCTCTCGTGAAGTCTTCTCTTGATAGTAGACTTTGACAGTGACACGCCTACTGTACCTCCTGGAGAGTGTTCTTCTCTTGGCTGGAATGTTGTGAAAGGGTTTTTCTTTACCATAGAGAGGATCCTCCGATCATCCACCAGGTCTTTTTATGTTGCCAGTGCATTCTTTGTTTCTCAGAATGTACCAAACTGTTGATTTGGCCACTCTGAATGTTCCTGCTATCTCTCTGATGGATTTGTTTTGTTTTTGAAGCCTAACAATTGTCTGTTTCACTTGTATGGAGAGATCCTTTGACCACATGATGTGGGTTCACATCAACAGCTTCCAAATGCAAATGGCACACTTAGAGTCAACTCCAGACCTTTTACCTGCTTAATTGATGTAGAAATAACGAAAGTTATGAAACATAAAACAGCTTTTGAGTCAACTGTCCAAATACTTATGGTCTCTTGAAAAAGGGGTGAGGTACTTATTAAAGAGCTGTAATTCCTTAATCTTAAACTTTCCTCCAATTTTGATGCGAATACTCTCAAATTAAAGATCAGAGTGTGCACCTATCTTCTATCTCTTTCTGTCTGTTCTGCTGGGTTTGCCTGTAAAGAGAAGTCTCCTTCACTCCATTAGATGAAAAGCAAAGATTTTTGTTGACACACTGAAAGGGGAGCGAAAGGAGAGAGGTGAGGTCTCTGCCACCAGCTGAACTGTGAATCTCTCACTGTAAACAAAAAACTACTGTCTGGCAGCACATATTCACTGTAACACTTCAATGATGCCACGCTGTCAAAAAGGCTAAGCGCAAGGGAAAAAAAGACACCAGCAAGGCATCGTCTGCAAACCGGAGCACTACGGTGCAACTCCTGCCGCCTGTCTATCATCAGCTCAGACGGCGGCCCATGAAATATGCAGCGCGCGTGGTGGAGTCAATCAGCTAAAGCCCTGTCCCGCGGCCCACCACGCCCCGTGGGATCTGCTGGAGATGGGGCTTTCCCAGCCTCTTGGATGCTATCCTCGAAATCCACTTAACCTTCATTTAGCTGCCACTGTTTGAGGACTTCAGCTCTGGTGAGAGCAGCCCCTGCACGGTTCAAGCCTCGCTTGCAGCCCTATAGGGCATTTTGGGTATTTACTCAAGTAAAATACTGAGCTCCCCATCTCTCTGTCAGCCGCTGGGAGGTTTTTTCTTATTTCAATCTTCTGCCGCACATAAACAGAGCAGTTGCCTGCGAGATGACGGATATTTAGGGCAGTGCGTCTGCAGTACATCTCACAGGGAGGCTCTTTCATGTCGGCAGAATACGTCTGCTGCCTGCCAGGCGCATCAAGCTCACATCTCGTCTTCATTCATGTCTCACTTACAGTCATGGTGATGCAACACAGCACTCTTGAAGTGAGGATATCTGCCAAAGGTTTTACATTGTCAACTTATTTTTAAGCTTTTTAGATGTTGTCATTGTGAAGATTCATATTTTTAGTCTATATATGAATAGTTTGAAGTATTTATTTATTTTTATATTAAGGCACTTTATCCTGTTCTTGGTGAAATTTCATATTTTTATTCATTATACTGTATGCATACTAATAAGCTGAAGTGTATATATATATTTTTTTTTCAATCCAATCCAATTCCAATTTAATATGCAAAGAAAATGTATGAATAATAAATCATCTGTAGCCTGATTTCCCCAAAACTGTAGCTCTATTTTTGCATCCCAGACTCGCTGTAATAGGCAGTCACGTTTTGTGCCATGTTCCCGAGTAAACAGAGCATCGGTCAGGAATCGCCAGGTGTTTAAAAGCTGTACTGCTGCCATTCGCTACTGGTAGCGGGCCTAAAAATGTCCTGACCGCAGCCACACATTTGTGTGTCAGCTAAGCACGGACATTAGGGTAACTTTGACCTTGCAACAAGGGCTGGGTCAGTGCCGCACTCCATTAGAGATGGGATTCACGGCCGGTCTCGCTGTTAGGAAGAGGAACGTTTACAGGAAAACGCATTAGCTGTTTGACAGACTGCGTATGTTAATAATGCCCCCACCGTTAATGTGATGAGACAGCATGGTTGGAGCACCCCCTCATTGAGACCTTCACGTTTTATAGGCCGTGTCTAACTTTCTGAAGACTATATCCATTCTCAAGGTCCCAAGGCTGATTCACAAACCTTTGCTCTGCTTTGCAAAGAGATACAGCGGCAAACACTGCAAGTACACAAGCAAAGTAGTCTAAAATTAATGTCCTAATAACCTATAAAACAAGAACAAAGCCACTGTAATTGAGTTTAGATGCTATAATTATTTTATTCCAGCATGCATATGCTACACTGCAGTAATTTGTTGGTAAAATTTGCAAGATGTTTGAATTTGACGCACAGTGTGCTGTGGAGTCTGATGCAAAGACTCATGACACATAGACATAAGTGTGTGATGCAACAATGATTTACACGCACGCACAAACTCTAGCAAAGACGAAGGGGTGTCAGCTTTCACAGTGCAGCTTCCAAAAATAGCCCACACTGAACAGAGCAGCTCATGATAATCTTTCAGTTTCAAAGATAAGACTATGTAAAAGAAAACCAGACTTCGAATGGTGGAAATCAAGAAGGGGGCAGAAAACACTCAAATGACTTTGGCTCAGCTTCACCCTAATGCGTCCTAATGAGGATCCACATAAAAAGAAACTCTTGCTAGCATTGTTGGATTATGAAACGGCACTAACAAGAACAGGGCAGAAAATATAGAATGTTTTTCATTATGACTATGATAATTCTTTTCTTTTAAGAATGACTTAAAGGGATAGTCCACCAAGACCATACTATCATTTACTCATCCTCATGTCGTTCCAAACCTGTACGAGTTTCTTTCTTTTGCAGATAAAATTTTAAAGAATTTTTTGAAGACATTTGTCAATATAATTCAAGTCAGTGAGGTCCATAACAACATTTTTATTCCATGGACAAAACACTGAAACAGTTTTCAAAATATCTTCTTTTTTTGTGATTCACATTAAAATAATTAAGTTGTACAGGTTTCAAACGATGTAAGATTTAGTAAATTACAGAATTTAATTTGTGGGTAAACTATCCATTGAATCTGCTATTAATTTTCCAACACCTCTCTGGAGCCACTCCACTCCTTTGTTCCTGACAGGCACACAAGGAATATGGACTCAAGTTGCAACAATTTAAAACTAACGGATTAAAATGTGCATATCTTAACAGAAGCGATGCACATCCATTAACCAGATCCAATGGAAGTGAAATAACATTAAAAACCATGCAATTATTGAGCATACCATTGAATTTTTTATCATGTTTCGTCTTAACATTTTTATAAATCATCTGTTTGTCTCTTTATATCTGCGGTTAGGGCATGCACTAGTGATCCCTTCATTGCTCCTGGCTGGGGGCAGCAGTCATGTGTTCTGCAGTGTTTGGATCATGCAGGGAACAGTCTTGATTGCAAATCTCACTTTGATATCCTACAATATAAACTGCATTCTTAATATACATCCTATTACTTTACTTATGCATGTTAGATTCACTATAATTAACTTAAAATATGCTTTTTCTTTACAGATAAGCTCAAGACGAACTGGATTGATTGTATGGGAATTATTATGCGGTGGTTCGCAATTAAATAACTTAATAGCTCATTTCACATCTTAAAAATTAGCTACATTTATTAATCTCACCAAAACATTCATCAACTAACTCGTTAGAATTTCAGCAAAGGAACCAGTGATGGTGTTCTGGCCTGCACTCAAAGCAATCACAGTGAATGGGACTAAACAGCATAACCCAAAATCCTGGCCAGTCCTGCACTGCATAGATTTCTCATTTTTAGCACATGCGGGGGCTAACTGTCTACACGGAAAGAGCACACTGGCTCATGAATTATTTCGCAATTATTAATTCTTCTGCATATTGCACATTATTTCAAATCGTTTACAGCCCTCAGCAGCATTCATCTCAGCCATGTTACCGCCTCGTTAAAAAAAAAGGAGGTAAGTACGCGATTGGGGTGCAAATGAGATACTGGTGCTCAGGTCTGTCACGTGATTAATTCACGACTAATTCAGAGGTAGCCTAGACCGGGCTGTGAGCGAAAAACTATAAACATATTGATTTTATTGAACTGAGGGCCGTGAATGTATACAAGGCATGCAGGCAGAACGGAGTCTTAACTACACAGGCTTCTCCATTACACCACTGAGAACCCAGCTCTCACAACCAATGGAGACCAATCTATCATTAAAAAAATAATAAGACTGATGAGATGCATGCCCTTCACCTACACAGGAAGCATAAACAGAGTGAAATCATAAGGATACAGTAGTCACCAGCAGCGATTAACCCGTTGATAAGGTTGGGTTTGGAGTCAACCTTGAATGCAAAGGTAAGCATAATAACTGTTTGAGAAAGATATATGCAGCATCAACATAAAGTGTCACTTTTCAACTACAATTTTCTGTAAAGCAGCTGATGCACAAAGCATCAGTTTCATACATTCATTTAAATTAAGCAAATGCCCTTCTTTTAGCAAACACTGCACAGGTCTACACTTTCGAAAACATTTGATTGTAAAAGAAAACAAATGTAAAAATTGTAAACCTGCTAATCTACAGTACAACCACTCACTTACTAACTAAATAAATACATAATGTAAAAGATGTTTCATTTTATTATAAATGAATGAAAATAAGTAAAAAGTATTTTTATAATTGTCTTTTAGTCATCTTGTAATTGATAACTAAATACTAAGGAGGACCATTCTGATCAACTCTATCAATAGCAGTGCATTTTACAGCAACAAACACATTAATAATAAATCAAATAGGTTTGTATATTAATATCATACAATGTAATGCCACATACATTTAGGAAGCCTAAAATATAAAATCACCAAACCTATCAAATCCTAGTTAAGTTCTGATAATCAGTTTTACTGTAAATTTAACAAACCTTTTGTAAGATACTATGGAGGCTGTCTTGGCTAAAGTATGTGCCCCTCAAACCAAACAGATCACAGAGGCAGTGGATCATTGTAGCTGATGTTTTCCTGTCACACGTGGCTCTATCAAGCACATGCACTACTTTTACAAGACAGTGACCACAGAGTAGCACTATCACCATCAGCTCTTTAATATCCCTCAGAGAAACACCTATAACACCTTTTCGGGAAACGGATTGTTTGTTTAGATCGGTTCTAAACAATGTATAAATCCCCACAGCTCCGTCTTGCATACTATTTTTACAACAAGACTGCAGCATTGCCATGCACCAGACTTTATATTAAAACAGTCCATCAGGTTCAGAAATCATTGTGCACAGTGGCTGCAATATCAGAGCAGCCTGACTGGGAAGGGAAAAAAAGACAGTGGGTGCATGCATAACTCATTTATATGCAAAGAAAAATGCGCATGTAAAAACAAACAGCCGGATAATGTTATACGAACAGCTACAGAGAACAATTTGATCTCAAAGAGAATCGCAGACAGACGGTCTGCCGGCGGACAGCTGCGCTTTAATGACTCAAATACAGTCGGACAGTGTCCGGTGTGAGAACAGAAGCTACTGAGACTATAATAAATCGCACGCGCGTCAAGCCCCTCTTCATCCGCATTCAACTAGGCGTAGCAGCGCAATTGTGAAGGGCAGAACTCTCCCTCCCCTGTGACTCTTTACCCCCTCACCTGGCACGTCGTCCTCAAAATCCATATCGTCTTGTCCCTCATCTTCATTGCTTAGCGATCCGGGCATCTTTACCGCATAACAAGAAAATCACATCCGAGATACAGGAATAAAGTCCTGAAACTTAACCCTCTGAATGCTCAGATTTTCAGCTTCAGAGGAGGCGTCCACTGACGGTGAGGCTAATTTTCTTTTAATATGCTCTCAATAAAATAAAAGATGGCTGCCCAGTTAAAAAAAATATTTCCCTTTCTCCCTCTTCTCTATCCAAATCCTCCAGTGAAAATAAGAAAGAGACAAAAATGGAACACACATGCCCAGATTGTGACGTCTGGTCGGTTGCCATGGCAATCCATCCCATAGTTTGCCGACACAACTAGTTAATGCTCTTCGCCTGGTCACCGGCTTAACTAGTAGTGAGAGTGCCGGCGGTCTCGCGGTGGCATTGCCCTTTTCCCGCTGAAGTTCGAGGAATGTGAGGTTATACAGGGAGACGTACGGGAGAAAGTTCCCTCACAATCCCTTTCTGTCAGACGAGGTAAGAGCATAATTGGAGCTGGAAAAAGGATTTTGCTGTCCTGCTTTTTTATTTTACAAATGTAGGTCGGACGAATTGAATATCCAAGGTCACGGCTGAACGTACATCTTAGACGACTTAGTTTAGAGATGTTTTAAAGGGACTTAAAGGTACAGTTCACTCAGAAAACAATTGCCATTTACTCACCGTGTGTCCCACAGAAAAAGACTTACAGCCTCGGTCACCATTCGCTTTCATTTGATTTTCTTGACATACACTGAAAGTAAACGGTGACTGGGGCATTCTACCTCATTTTGGGTGAACTAAAGCATGATGAAGCCAGGTTTGTTTTATTTAAATGAAACGCTATTCTTTACGAAGTCAGGTATACTGGGGGGGGTCTCTCTGAAAACGTCTAATTCGTTTTCGTGAAACTGCTTCAGCACAACCCGCGAATCACGAGCCGTTGCCAAGGATACGGCAGCGAGACGCTCTACGTAATCAAGCCAGACAAAGACATTTAAAATAACCTCCGCTACACGATGCAAAACTCATTCAAAATCATATAAACCCCTAATTAAACAAAAATTAGCATAAACTGACCGAAGCAGATTTGCTTGGTCTCCCAGTCTAGCTCTTTAAGACATTAAGCTGGCCCGAACAGTTGCGCCCAAGCTTGGTAGATCAGCTAAAACTAGCAACCATTTTAGACTGGTATAGACGTTTCAGCATATCATGCAGGGTTTTCCCTATTTTTAAAAGAACTCTCTGAACCTTGTGAGTGCACAAATTTTGTTGCTATGGAAATTATTGGTCCTGTCTGACTGGTGGTAGATGAATCCTATATGCTTTAGTGCAGTAAAATGAATAAATAAATAGATAAAGACTTCTTGGGCTCTAAAAATAGAAAGAAAACGCACAATTATAAATCAAATGGATTTATCCAGTACTCTCTCTTTTCCTCCCAGCAAAAGAATGTTTTGAACATACTGCAATGAACACACCAGAAATAAGGAAATTGGTTTCTTTTGAAATTTTATTGAATTTACAAAAGAGTGGCATGGATTTAATCTTCATCCTCCTCCTCCTCATCCTGATTGATCTGGAAGTAGCGCAGTTCATAGCTCTCCTTGGTGTTCGCTACTACACGCAGCCAGTCACGCAGGTTGTTCTTCTTGAGATACTTCTTGGTAAGATACTTCAGGTACCTGAAAACAACAAACAGTTAAGTTTTACATATTCCATATGGTTTCAAATGAGATGGTAATAGTCATAAACACTGCAACAATACCTGAGATGTTTCAATGTGCATTCAAAAATTACAAATACAGGTAATTCCGAACTCACTATAAATATAGATACAGGTTTTATAACTAACTGCTTTGTATTCACACCACTTGGCTTACAGGGTAAAACAAAAGACCCATAAATTCTGCCTTGTGTAACTATCACTATAGTTGTCAAAATATCTTAATTGAAAGGTACATAAAAGCTACCAATTATAAGGTGTAAAATTAGTAGTAGTGGTTCTCCTAACAGCTTTTAAGGCCCTTCTCATCAGATCTTGCTTCTCAAACATATTCAACAAGTAAATGACAATAATAAAGCTGGCAAAGAAAGAAGCATTTCCCATGGCTTTCATGTGTTTAATAGTAAAGCTCTAAGCAGCCTGTTCCAGTAAGCGGACAGGAGTTCAGCATCAAATTAAATGCATGATTATAGTCTATATAATAAAAGCAAAAAATAATGATAAATATTATTTGAGAGTACCTAAACAAAAACATACATTTGATCACAAGCTACAAGTACGCTTCAGTTCATCATTAAAGAAATTAAGGACAAATGTAAAAAAACAAAAAAAAACATTAATGGAACTGGCAGTACAATACTGCGCACTTTCAATTAGCAAAACGTGGGCTGTTAGTCACAATGACGACATACACACGTCTTGCAAACACTGCACTCTGGTGTGCACACGTATTATTCAACAGCATTCTGACTGTGTGGATGGACACAGACTGATTTATGGAGAGAAAACAATGTTCATTAACACATCTATTCAATTTAGACTACTAAAACTGATATCAAGATGGCAGACAATTTCTTTAGGCATAAATACTTAAAATACTTATTGCACCTTTCAATTCACCTTTAATAAATCATCAAACATTTTACAACATCACAATACAGCAGTGAAACAACAGCTTGCATGCAATTGCAATCCATGGAAAAACCGGGAATGACAGTATCCACACTGTGAGAAAAATAAGATCTTAAAGGGATAGTTCACCCAAAAATGAAAATGATGTCATTAATTCAGGGCTCGACAATAAGGACTGCCAGTGTGAGAGAGCCTCACGACAGCTGACGGATTTGTCGATCGGGCCACTGCTGTGTCGTCATGAAAGTTTATCATTTGCACGTGTTTTTAAGCCTTGCAAATTAAAAAATTCCAGCTACATTCAAGCAAGACAGCTCTATTCAGTACTCACACACACAGAGCTTGAACAGACAAATACATTCAAAAGTATGTCAAAAATACCAGCCTTGGCGAGTAACTTCGTAGCATAATCTCTATTTCATTTATACAGTGGAGTGCAGATGCACCGGTCGATTTTTTTGTTTTATTTCAGCCGATCTCTGTTCTGGACTTGCACACAAACTGCACTGCAATCATTTTCCAAAATGTCATTTACATTTACGAAGTCTGTAAACGGCCGTTAATAGAGACCAGAGATGCTGAAGACTGATGCAGAGAGGAGAAAATACTGTAGCGGGCAGAGCGAAATATTGGAAGAAATTCCTAAATATTGAGTTGGGGGTTTATATGGGTTTATATGAGTGGAACTGTCTTCAGAGAAGTTTACATGGCGTTTTCTTTTCATCTCGTCTCTGTATAACACATATTAAAGTAGTGTTATTAATAAGCGCAGCTCTGCTTTGTTTACAGCATTAAACGTATACCGAGGAAATCCTGACTCGCTGCTGTCAGAGAGTGAATCTGCGTCTCATTCAGCGCGTCTGCTGTTTTTCATAAAGCATCATTTCATTTGTGTCTTTGTTCTCTATATTCAACCGTGCTATTGCTTGTAATTTGTTCTTATTTACTGATTGTTCACTTGTCTTTCATAATGTTTGTTAGTATAGTAGTTTTTGTGAAATTTAATTGGTATATAAAATGTGTGTCATACGTGACCCTGCAGCACAAAAGCAGTGTTAAGTCGCTGGGGTATATTTGTAGCAATAGCCAACAATACATTGTATGGGTCAAAATTATAGATTTTTCTTTTATGCCAAAAATCATTAGGATATTAAGTGAAGATCATGTTCCATGAAGATATTTTTTTAAATGTCCTACCGTAATTATATCAAAACTTCAGTTTTCAGATTTTCAAATAGTTGTATCTCTGACAAATATTGTCCAAACCATACATCAATGGAAAGCTTATTTATTCAGCTTTCAGATGGTGTATAGATCTCAATATCGAAGTGACACTTAAGACTGGTTTTGTGCTCCAGGGTCACATATAAGCTTATTTATTAGACTAAAAGATAACATGGGTCAAAAACAATGATAACAGCAACTATTTAATTTTTTGTGGCAGCAGGGCCAGTTAAAATTTTGTCAGGACAAGTAAAAATTTGAACCACTGGCACGACCGGACCAGTAGAAAAAATAGCGTTGATCGCTGTAATTATTTTGTTTTAGTTTGTAAAACCAAACCGAAAATAACTTTCTTCAGTAATACACAATAACAACGGGGCGGGATTGTTTAAAAGCATAAATGTGAAGCTTGTATGTTTTTCAGCACTTGTTTGAGCTACAATGCAAATGAAATATTTTCCATAATTCATTACTAAACCTTTAAGCTTTAAAATAGATTAAACAATTAAAATATGCAACATTAGTTGATAAAAACAAAACAAAATAAAATATTTCAGGTTCACCTGGAATTTTTATTTATTTTCTATTGAAATTTTATTTTTTTTATTATACATTTTATTGAAATAAATAAAAATGTTCCATGTTAAATTATTTCCTTCTGTTTTAAAGTTTGACTTACTTCTTGATCTCTTTCAGAAGCATCCCGATCAGCATCGGTTGAAGGGGCTCAATCATTAACTTCCGCCACATGTCAAGTGCAAGCTAAAAACACAACAAAACATTCATTATAAACCATTATACTGTTCATGAAAGAATAAACACCACAATTTGACATTTGAAATGTGCATAGCTTAACATCCAATCTGTTCACATCAAAAAAAAAGTTCACATGCCAACAGCCTGTTTCATAAGCACACGGCACTAAAGTCTGATGCATTTGATTATGAAACCATGCATACTTCTCCGATCTCCATTAACGGCTCATTCATATCCACTCCTCCGTATCCGTACTGCAGGTCTGCTTCGGTCAGCTTGTTCTTCTTGATAAACTGTGTGTTGAGGTACCTGTGGGTAAATTCAGGGAAACACACAGTTGCTATTATTTTAGTTGAGTATGTGAATGTTGAAGCACAATAAAGCCACGGGTGACGTGCTTGTTTTCACAGCTGACCCAGGCCAGCGGGACAGTGACGGGGTTCAGTCCAGCATGGTGTAATCAAGCAGAAACTGACCAAAGCCCTTGTCCAGGACGAGCTCTGCATGCAAGAGAAACCATACCTTGTGCACTCAATGAACCGTCAGAACCAGTAATAATGAAATGTATGATTTTAAATAGAACACACAATGGCATTCTAATGCACTCTTACCAAGAATGTATT